TTTTTTTTTTTTTTTTTTTTTTTTTTTTTTTTTTTTTTTTTTTTTTTTTTTTGTTGCTTTCTCGAGGAGAAAGCACGCGAGTATCGATGCGATATCAAAGTTATTGTTTCTCGTTTACTAATGCATATATGTGTGCGTGTGATAGTTTTATTTTTGTAACCATTAGAAATTATTTTCACAGAAATGTACTCGTTTTAGTAATGTTTATCGATTTTTCTATGTTTTATAAAATATTTGGAATTTTTCATGTAAAATAATCACGAACGGGAGAAACTATAAACTAATGGTTTGATAAACATGTGAAACCAAAGTAAAAAGTATTAGTATATAAGGTGTACTGTAATGTGAGTGGTATCAGTGAGTGCAAGAGATTTCACTCTCTCGTTTTTAGAAAAGCTCACGTATTCGATTTTTACGATAACCCACGTTCGTACATCAGAAATTCACGAGTGATATTGCTTTTAGAGAGATTTTCACTTTGTGGTGCTGCAAAATTAAAATAAATACGTAAATTAGAATTATTTTTAAAACCGCACTTTTTCATTACGTCTCTCTCGTACAGTTTCACGTTTTTAACTTTTATTGTTGCTTTAATTGCTTCGATTAATCCGTGACACAATAGAAAATGTAAACTATATTACCATCGGCAAGCGATTGACCGAATCAAAGGAAAAACACCTCTAACAAAATCGGTTCAAAGTAGGTATCATAAAAACACACAAAATATTAGTGACCTTTTAACACACATACAACAGTTTTTTTCGTCCCAAAATATTAAAACCGTATAAGCACGAATAACAGTATAGTAGCGTGGGTGGACAGTTGGTCAATGGCTCTTACTTCACGAGTACCCAATAGGCAAAAATCGCGCTCATTCACTTCGTATTAGCTTTGAAAGTGAAAATCCACGAGGTGATAAGATCTGCCGTCTATTCTTCAAATGAGTATAGTTTCGGTAGTTATTTAGATCCCCGTACTCTCCAACAGCAAAGGAGACCGGAGAAAACGATCTCGAAACATCGGAAAGACCGGCTATAACAGCCATGTAACACCTTAATTGCTGGAAAAAAAAAAAAAAAAACGGAGGAGAAAGAAGATGCACTTTATTACAGCACCTTCCTCCGTCAAATGGGTCGAAGCTTTTCTTTTTCTTTTCCGCATCCAACCATCCTCGAACCGGAGCCAGCACAGCCGATCTCCTAATTCTCATTCCCTGCCGGTAATAATTACTTACCGCCGAGAAAAGAGAAAACCGATGCAAAGCGGAAAAACCAAACGAAGAGAAAAAAAACGAGGCCGAGTATCATCGTCATCATCGTCACCACAACTCTATCTGTATACGTCACTTCTTTTGAGAGTCGCGATTCATTTCTCCTCTTCATTAAGCTCACCTCGAGCTGTACCAGCTCGTAAATAATTGATTAACGCGCGGACAACAAAAAAAAAGAAGACAAAACCCACGGAGGAAGGAAGGAAGGAAGGAAGAGGGAGTAGGCCAGTAACCGCGAGCGTCTCCCCCTCTTTTCTTCGGCTCGTCCACCTGTCCGCTTGACTCCGCGATCTCTCTCTTTACGCGGCTTTTTTCTTCTTCCTCCCTGTTTTCTCCCGATCACACGGCTTCCTTCCGTCTTCCATGATATCGGCATCGGAAGTACAGGCGTTTATATATACCTCTGCAACTGTCAATCGATACCGATCACTACCGATCAATCGAAAATCGGCACACGCGTATACAAACGTATACATATATATATGTACAGACGGACAAACGGGCCGGTAGAAAAACGACACGCACGAGGAAGCGTGGAGATTTTTGACCTACAAAAAGCGCCAACGGCAGCAGTGGCGGCCAGTGTATAGGCAGCCCAACGGAGCCGAGCGAGCGAGCGAGCGAGAGGGATCATCATTAGCGGGAGCGCGCACCGGGATGAGGCTCGCCGCCGCTATACCACTGTCAGTCCGAAGCCGCGAGCTGCGCGACTTGCACGCTATTAACGCCACCGCCAACGGTTTATATCGGCCGTGCGCGACCCCCGTGACAATAGTTTAATATATATTTTACTATAAGTTGCAGTTTTTGTTCCGTGTGCTCTTGTACATCGTAGTTTTTGTCGCTGCAACAGTGGAGTGAAGCAGCGGACGAGTCTCTCTCAGGATGAGGGCCATCGTCAGTCGAGCCGGGCTCTTTTTGCTCCTGGTACAAAAAAACAAACTCAAACATCGATCTGTTTCGTTGCCTCCGCTCTATTATATGTACCTATTTACGTGCATTTAAACTGCATGGCTCCTCACAATTATACAGCGCGGAACGGAGCCGTTGCGGTGCACACTTCCAGCGGTCGCTTCACGGTTTAACCCGATTTTCGTCTCAGCCGTAGTTTTTTTTTTTTTTTTCTTTTATTTTCTCGCTTCTTGCAGTGAATTTATGCAGTGAAATCAACTGCGCTCGCCATCGTTAATACACGCCGGTTTAGTGGGTCAAGACTCGATTGCAGTGTGTGTATATATACATATACGGCTATATTCATGGAAAATCGGACTTCCTGTAGTGTAGCTGCGTGACTTATTACAAGCCGCGATAGTACAATGTACATGTATATGGTGTGTAGGCTCCTTTTGGCGAGTCATTTTTCTCGACGGAGGGACTTTTCCTCCTCTGGAGGGTCTCGCGTCTTTTCCGCGACTTTCACCTCGCGCCTCTCTCGAATCGACGAGTTTTCGCTTAATCACTCGGTTGCACATTTAGATGCGACCATCACCCCTCCTCTTTCTGTTACTTTAATTATAATTTTTGTTTTTTTTTTTTTTTTTTTTTTTTAACCACGGTAAGGTATCCAGGCAGTTACGTTTTCTGGAAACCTTAGACAAAAAAGAGTTGGTCTCACCTGTCCTTTTGAAGGCTATTGGACGTCGAACTACTTTGCTAACAAATATATAATAGTCTAACTATATTGACAGAAAATAGCCTTTATGGCTCACAAAAGTCTTAACCATGACTATAGTCGCAAAACAGCAAATTGGAAGAATAACTCAAAATGCTTTGAACGTATACAATTTTAAGTGTTAAGA